AATCCGGGAACATAACACCGATATGACGAAAACTAGGGCGGCAAGAGTGGAACAAAAACACTAGGCGAGTGGCCGAGCCTTCACCCTTAGCCAAGTATATAGATGCATTAAGATAACATAGCAACATAATGATATCCCAACAAGTAAATAAAAGATGTTCCAACAAGGAACGGCCTCCAATCTTCACCTGCAACTAGCAACGCTATAAGAGGGGCTGAGCAAAGCGGTAACATAGCCAATCAACGGTTTGCTAGGACATGGTGGGTTAGAGGTTTGACATGGCAATTGGGAGGCTGACAAGCAAAAGGTAGGCATCGTAGCATTGGCATAGCAAGAGCGAGCAAACTAGCATAGCAAAGATAGTAGTGATTTCGAGGGTATGATCATCTTGCCTGCACAGTTGTCAGAGTTGACTGGATCCTCACAAGCGAACTCAACGGGCTTCTCGGTAGCGAACTCGCCTCCCGGCTCTACCCAAACAAGACAAACAAGCAACAAGGATACAATCAACCACGTGCAAGAACAAGCAATATGACGAAATGATGATATGCTATGCGGGATGCGATGCGGGATGCAAAATGCAAGATATGACAGGGAATGCATGAACCTGGCCTCAACTTGGAATTCCAAGGATGCCACTAGAAATATGAGATGAAATCGCTTGAAAACGATATAAAGATCATCGGAATCGGAGTTACGGTTTGGAAATGGCAAGCGTTTTAAGAATGACACCGGTCTGCGATTTACAGCAAGTAGGCATCTAAATGCAACGAAATGAACATGCTACAGCCACCAAACATGACAACAAAATACATGGCAGGGATGCACACAAGATGCTTAACAAAAAACTAGCACTGAGCTACGGCCAATTCATCCATTATGAGGTTCAAACAAGCATGGCAAAAACGCAAATGCAAAACAGATTCCAGACTTAGTGAAATTAACACTTGTCTGAAATTTCAGATCACGAGGCCCTCTTCGGAGCAGCAAAACAACATCAAACATGACCTGATTATGATAAATAAGAACATGGCATGGAGCTACTCAACATCTTAACAAAAGACCCAAAGTGACCTGGGGCCAAAAGGGGTCACAAAATATACTAACGGGCACACGAACATAGCTAAAACACAATCAGTTTTCAGACTTAGTGAAAACTGAGACATGCTGAAATATAACTCACGAAGGCTTGTAAACAAGCTCGATGCACTCACTACGGTGCAAGTCATGGCAAGGCAAGCATACATCCATAAACAAGGCACAAAATACAAGCTAGGCATGGCAAGAACAATGGCATAGCATGCACGGATCAACTACAATAACGCCGGCAAAATCGCAAACGAGTTGACGATCTGCCCAGATTCACCACGAAGCTAAAGTAGAGCTTGATTGACTCAAGCTAGGGTACTCCAAAATTGCAAATGAAGACATGGATGGAAATAGCATGACATGGTTAACAAAACTCCTTTACTGATCATCCTCAAAAGAGGCACGGATCATTAGGAAACAAGCTGAACATATGGCATCATGAACTAAATAATCCCAGACTTAGTGAAAACTACTAAGTCCCTGAAAACAGATTTACCGGGTGCCTCACTTTGCAAGCTTGCATAAGTCACCACACACATCCTAAAAATACATGGGTTGCACCTCTGGAAAGAAGACAAAATCTTTAACAAAACATATGAAGGACTCACAGGCATAGCATGCACACAATAATCATGGCAAAAATGACAAAAACCTAAGATGACCGAGCAGATCTGACAATTAACTCATGAAGCCTTCTTCTAACAGCATTTTGGGCATCAAGATGAGCTCAAATGAAAATGATGCAATATAATGAAATGATGTACTCATCGAGCCAAACATTTTGATATACTATATGCCCAAATCGGAGCTACGGATGCAAAGTTACGGCAGGTCAAAGTAGGCATAAAAAATTAGGGTTTCGGGAGGAGAAAGTCAACCGTCCAAATTCCAGATCTAGATCCAGATCGGGCACGGGAACCGAGGTCGCCGGATT